AGAAGGTGAGGACTATGCACTGAACACTATGGTAGAATCATATCTTGCATGCACCGGTACAGGTTGGGGGATGACCTGCTGGAGAAGAGCTCTGCAGAGAGGGACCTGGGTGTCCTGGTGGATGACAGGTTGGCCATGAGCCAGCAGTGTGCCCTTGTGGCCAAAAAGGCCAATGACATTCTGGGGTGCATTAAAAAGAGCGTGGCCAGCAGGTCGAGGGAGGTGATCCTCCCCCTCTACTCTGCCCTGGTATGGCCTCATCTGGAGTACTGTGTCCAGTTCTGGGCTCCTCAGTACAAAAAAGACAGGGATCTCTTGGAAAGAGTCCAGCGGAGGGCCACAAAGATGGTAAAGGGCCTGGAGCATCTCCCCTATGAAGAAAGGCTAAGTGAACTGGGTCTGTTTAGCCTTGAGAAAAGAAGACTGAGAGGGGACCTGATCCAGGTCTATAAATATCTAAGGTGTGGGGGGCAAACTGGTGAGGCCAGACTGTTTTCAGCAGTGTGCGGAGACAGGACAAGGGGAAATGGCCAGAAACTGCAGCATAGGAAGTTCCGCACCAATGTGCGCAAGAACTTCTTTATGGTGAGGTGATGGAGCACTGGAACAGGCTGCACAGGGAGGTTGTGGAGTCTCCTTCTCTGGAGATATTCAAGACCCACCTGGACGCCTACCTGTGCGACCTGGTGTAGGGAACCTGCTTTGGCAGGGGGTTGGACTCGATGGTCTCTGGAGGTCCCTTCCAACCCCTACGATTCTGTGATTCTGTGATTCTTATATGAATGGTTAATAAGAGGAAAATAATTGTACTCTTCTAGAATTTTGCCAAAAAATTGCAGTTAACATCATAGCTTTAAAAATATGTAATTCAGTTCTGTGGTGATGATGATCCCAGAGGTGGTCACTGAGGGAGAGCCTGCAAATTCTTCCAGAAAGCAAGAAGTCACTGCTTAATGGGTGACGCTTCCGCATCTAGCTTAGACACATAGAAAAAACTAATGATGATGTGTCCCGCCCAACAACCAGCTGACTTTTTCCAGATCCTTGCTTAATATTATTTCCTCCTTTAAAGTTGTAATTTGTAATTCCAGGCAGGAGTTGGTAGCACCAAGCAGGATCACAGTCTGGCAAATTAAGCCAAATTCTGTACCTTTGAAAGCTGCAAGTTGGGTGGGCAACAAGTAGGAAGAAGTCTGCAGATTGCTCCTGTGTTCAGAATGATGAGGTCCAAACTTTCAGATGGGAGAAGGGCTGTAATTGCAGAATCCTGTCTTTTGCTTTTAAATGAATTTCACAAGCAGAGGTGTCTGCTGCCATGTTCTAAAGTTTAATGTAAATTAATCAGTGATTGAAATTGGAATGTTTTAGGGAAAAAAGAAAAAAAAAAAAAAACAACAAAAACTCACCACCTTCAGGGATACTACTTTTGAAAGAAGCCATACTAGTCTAAAACCTGTGCAAACTGAGGTGCTTCTTAGACCCAAAGCTGTTTTTTTATCACCCTCAGCAGAGTCCTGATTCTTTGTCATTCTTCATTTGCTAACTTCTACCATCTTTTTGCTCCTCTTAGCTGGCGTGAAGTTAAAAGTATGGGCAGCAGTGATCCAGCCAGCTGGTGTTTTGGAAAGAAACCTGTAACACCAAATGTGAATACTGAGCAACTGACTCTGTTAATACCTGTCAGACTGGGCTGATCAGAAAATGTAGTAGAGGTAGGAATGAGCCTGCAAATCCAGCTTCCTCAATTACACACCCAAGGGAATATTTAAGGTATTAGACATATATAAGGTTAGTCTTTCTTTTGGGCCTTTTGGGAGGAGAGCAAGTGTCACATCAGATGACTTCCTGATGTCTTGTCCAACCTCGCTTATTTTGAGTCCTCACTTATTCCTCAGCTGATGAATTAGGATGACTAAAAGTTGAGTAACAGTGACGTGAGCTGAAGGCAGACACCAATCTAGTTCACACAGTCCTAGTGGTTCCCATCAGTAGCCAGTGTCCTTGGTTCAGTCTTGGGAGACCTGGCAAATCCTTGTTTACCTCTACAGCTGCAAATTAAAGGTTGCAGATCTGGGAATGGCTGGTGAGGTCAAAAGCAGGGCTAGCAAAGCACTCTTGAATATTCTGCATGTCAGCAGATTAGCAGCCATACATCATGTAGCAGTTTCCAGTGCTACACTGCCCTATGGCTTAGATGCCAGGGAACTGCAGAGTTCTGTGGTGCTCTTCCTCTGGGAACCAGGTCCTGACTCATGCTCTCTCTGCAGTGAATGTATATTCATTTTCCAGCATGTGTTTCCTGCAAGGAGGCCCACAAGGGGCAGTAACTATTTTTTAAATGTTCTGTTCTCTTCAACCAGGCTAGTTAGGGGGTTGGCATAAATACTTGCTGCATTATGAATATGTCCTAGATTTTACTGACTACATTTGTGTCACTCGTGGTGATGTGCTGTTAAAATGCTTTATGAGTTAGATGGTCTTTATATTTTTTTTATTTCTTCAAAGAGGGTGTGAATTGCTCACTTTGAATGATTTTTTAAGAATTGTGAGAAAATAGCATATATTTTCTAAGTCCTTAAAGATGTGCAGTACATCTGTTTCAAAGCACAGAAGTGTAGACTGTGTCTCTAAAACAACTGTTTGTAACTCTTTCCATTCTATGTGGAAGAAAACTTTACCAAAATAGCTGTTGTATGAAACCCACCAATAAGTTTCATTTCTGAATTTGAAGTCATGTGTATTTGGCGAAAGCCAACATGGCTGAGCTGCAGCAGGCATCTCTGGTGGACAGAGTGGCATCACACTTGAAGTAGCCACTTGTGAACACTTGATGCAAGTCACTGGGGGAAAGAGCATCTACAGGGATGGGACCAAGACAAGGTAAATTTAAAAGAAACTCAGTGAGTTTCTGTGAGTACACAGAAACTAGGGAAAAAATCTTATTCTTCAACTCTTCCCCAGGCATCCACTTTTGGCCACAGTTGACAAGCAGATACCAGTGCTGACAGATCTTTTGCCTGACAGATGTAGCTACTCTTGCAGGACTGCTGTGTGTTGTAAACATGCCCATCTGTGCTGTGAAGCTGGAGGCAGACCTTCAGAAAGGTAAAAATGCATACGTATATGAAAAAAAAAAAAAAGCATCTTTCTGATCCTATCGGAGCTTTGGCATGGATTCTTTGTTACTATGACTTTGCAAAAATTTGAGAAACTTCCCAAAAACAGGGTCTTAGCACTTAAGACCTATGCAAGTTCATTGCCCAGGATTGTACTACTCTTCATGAAAGTCTTGAAAAAGAAGTGTTCCTTCATACAGACTGGCCTGCATGTGAGCTTTCCAGACTGGTTAAAGCTTAATTAAAAATTGCCAGAGTGGCTAAATTCTTTTCTAAGTGCAGCTGCAAAATATTAGCTGTGGGCATGTTTTAGACCTTAATTAGTAACACTTGCACTGGAGGACCAAAATCCTTCATGCATGCAGCTGCTATAAATTAATATCAGTTAGGCATTTCTTTAGGCAGTACAAAGGTCTCCTGAAAATGGTGTTAGAGCCCACCTAGATTAAGAAACATATATTACTTATGCAATGAACTGCAAAATCAAAGATAACTAGAAAATGTCTTTATTGAAAAAAGCAGATTATAGCAGCTAAGGTTAAATGAAACGTCTGACTTTAATATTAAATAACTTAGGGTGATAGCAAGTAGCTTCTTCTTTAGATAAATAAATCTACATTTCCCAATTATTTTTCTTCAACAATCAAGGGAATCAAACACTGAAACACAAAACCACAAGTAATTCGAAAGACTAAAAGACAGAAGCACATTCAAAAGTTTTACAAGGATATATACAAAAATAGTTAAACTAATGTATATTTTCAGCATGTAAACTAGTTACATGATATACAAACAGGGAATTTATATATTTCCTACAAAATAAAAATCAATGTTGGTCCAAGTTCTTGGAAGAAAACTATATTCTTTTAAAGAAAATGAAAATATTTCTCAAATGAAAACTTAATTTAAGTCAAATTATACACTCTAGTTACGGCATTAGTTACAGGATGAATGACAAACTTTTATACTTTCCTTGAAACACAAGAAAGCAGCTTTTGTCTCCTTTAGAGCTTTGGTTTACTTAACTACTCTGGAATTTCTGGTCTTAAAGAGCTTCTCTAACCATGTTTTCCTTTTGAAGCTCCACCTTACAAAATATACATACACACACACGTGCACACAAGTGAAAAGAAACAGAAAAAAACCCAAACAAATTCCTTCTGAAAGCTCAATTATCTGAGTGCATTCTTTTGTTCTGTTTTTCAGTTATTATTTTGGTCCTTTCTTTGGAACGCTTCCTCCAGCGCATGAGGGACTCTGAATCACCTAGAACAGCTCTGTGCTGCAGGGACTTGGTAAGACTACCTTACCATAGAGGTAAGGTGCATTCCTGATGCAAATGAGAACAAGTTGGTATTGTTTTAACTTTATGAAAATATTCTGACAGTACAGAACATAAAAAGGCCGCTGATGAACAGCCACGTCATAAAATGAGCTCCAGAAAGTTTACATCTGTGTTGAATTGATTTAATTTAAGCATATACTCCTTAAGAAAATAATTAAATGAAGTTTTCTCACTTACATAATTCCCCAGACAGGAGGTAAAATGTGCAGAAGCTGCTGCTAGCACTACAGCATGCATCATTACTTCGATTAGCTTTTATTTTTTTCCTCTGTTCTTTGACTGAAAACTGGCAAATCTCACCCAACTGCCAGTTTTTATATTAAATGCTGGAAAAACAAACTTTATTATTCAAAACCAAAATGCACCTGTCTGTAGGAAATGCTGGAACAACTGCTGCTTTCTGGTTTTAAACAAATTTCTTCTTCTATACTGAAACTGTAACTTTCAACATAGCACTGTGAGGATATTTAACACATTGGAACTGAGCAGAACTACAAGCAAGACAAATTAACATGTGAAATTAAATATTATTCTGTTCTAAAGTATGATCTTTAAAAAAAAAAAAAAAGGTAACACACGTACATGTTAGATAATATGTTGACCCTTGAAAAGTAATGCTGAGCTGGAAACTTAACCTTGCTGCTAACTGGAGGTGGAAGTGCTGAGGAAGGTGCTGGCAGAAGGCAGACTAAATGCCAGAGTCACCTCCACCTCTGGCCACAGTGGTTTTTAATGTTTTGCATCAGTGTACAGCATGTACTGCTATTGGATGACTTGCTCACAGGAACAGACTCAAACATTCTCTGTGTATTTTAATGATTGTTTTCTTAATTTGAATTCTTTAGTATGTAATTGTAAAGACAAGCAATTAGAAATACCTCAAAGATAGATGTGGGCCAAAGCAGCTTCCTTACATGGAAAAGTATTACATTGCAGCTCAGGCTAAAAGTTTATCCCGAAGCTCTATCTTCCATTTCCTTCTCTTTGTAGTAACCTTAATGGAATTCACCTAGTTATATAACCCAACCAAAGACAATTTTTTCTTTTTCCAGAATTTGCTGTTTGGGCAAGAGGCACCTGTACTTCTGCTTCCCTCCTGAGGCTGGTTTGGTGACTATGGGCACCAGAGGTAATGCTTGTAAAGACATGTGTGCATGCAGCCAATGCCTAGCCTTCTGCAAAGGAAGATTCCTAGCTCACGCTGCAGAAACAGGACACTAGTTATACAGTAATTCCTACAAAACACAGCTCTCACACTAACTTGTTTATTAATTAGAAAATTACTTTTTAAAGGAGTATCTGACTTGCCAAAGAGCATTCAATAGAACAGGTTCATCTAGGCCAGAGGAAGTTTGGTAGAAGTTCGGAAAACGTAGCTTTTGTTCCTTACTAACAGAAAAAAAATAGTTCACAAGAATTTTTCCTGCCTCCTTGCTCTTCCCCACCTCCCCAAGGAAATTCCAGACTGTCAAAAAATTCTGTTAACGGAGTTAATTATTCCACTTAGGAATTAGTGTCCATTGGATGCCCTTTGTACTTTTTTCAAGAGCACCACAAATGGCTTTCAAAAAATCAGTAGAGCATAAGAAACTAAACTGCAATAGTGTTACCAAATAAGTCATTTCATCAGTCTGCATGCTGAATTTAACGTGATAATTTCTGAACGGACTGGTTAGATTCTTGACATGTTGAGAACTCGCACTGAAGTGTCCCAATTTACACATGCCGAGAATCTGGTCTGGTATTTCCGCTTTCTCTGGAGCAGAAGAGTTTTATTTTATTGTAATTTTGGATACAAAGACAGCAATGATGGATTTATTTAAAATACAAATTCAGGAAGGCTGGATAAATTCTCATGAGAATGCAAGGAATTTTTTAAACATACAGATGTGTGATTTGCATGTAAATCATCAACACATGGTAGAAAAACCATAAAAAAAGATTCATCGAACTTCCTATATGGAAGACATACATTTCCCCAGAGCTCTGAGGTTACTGTAACAGCTTATGCAAAACATGAAAGTGTGTACATTCTATGTACGTCTAATACTTGTTATAAAATATCAATGTTTCAATTGTCTGACTCTAAATTATTATTTCTGCTAAACTGTGTTTTGTTTTTCCAATGAAGATAACCACCATAATCTGTTGAAAAGTACATCTAGAAAAGAACAGAAAGCTGAAAAGATAATACAAAAACCGCAGCCCTTCCATTTTAATAATGTCTCAACATACAATCTTAAAGCAGTTGTTGGTAACAAATGAACCTGCATAAACAGGTAGTATAAAGACAAGTTTACCTTTGCATAGAAAGGGCTGCTAACTCTATTAAACAAACAAAAAAAATTAAAGATGAATTGTTTACTAAGTGCCAAATCATCAATGTCGTATGAATGCATTTTGAAGCTATGGCTACACTTGTACATAACAAGCAATTACAGAGCTCAGTACCTTCCTTCAATTGTTACAACCCTGCATGTACTGCTCTTTTGGATATACTCTTCTGTAATGTGTTTTTTATGAGACCCTTGACATTTTTCTTTAACAAAGTTAGTCTTTAGACCACTGTGGAACCACGTGGGTTGAAAAGTTGTCCTGATATGTCTTCACAGAATGCCATTATCTAACCCGTGCTGAAAGCTGTCATTGCTAAAGACACTCGTTTGTTTCCTATTCACTAATTCTGGGAACGTAAGTTTTTTAAAATGTGAGACTTGTATTCTCTAAGACCAGATTTCAAGGAAACTAGTGAAAATGCTGGCATTTATCTTACCATGCCTGCTGCAATGTGATAAAGGTGCTAAATTTTGGAAATTTATTCTGTACTCCTTACTTGGCCAAAACCTCCACTGAAGAAATGTGAGCAAGGAGTGCAGAACAGCCCTTTGTACCACTGTTTTTAAAAATGCTGCCACTTACAGTTATGACTTCATGGCGCATTATTTGTTCAAGTAGACGGTGCCTCAGTGAAAATGTCTAAATAAAAGAACGCATATATACAAGATTAGAAAGAACCCCTTACCTCTGATTTAAAAAATAAATAGCTGGTTTAGATGGTTATTACTGGAATATCATCTTTAAAGGAACAGGAAAGTCACTTTTAAATTTGTCTTCTCTTTTAAACGGCTTACTGGCAATGGAAATGTCTTTCAGAGTTCTGTGACGTGCATTGGATAGCTTGGTGGTGGATGCGATGGCAATTTAATATTAAGGCGCCTGATATGACAGCCGTGACAGAGCAAGTGGCCCTCTAATGGGTAACAACGATGGCCTTCCTCATCATTGAGCTGCAAGCCACAATCCTAGAAGAAAAATATACATCCCGGTTTTATCAGTGATTCAGGTAGGTCATCTTATATTAACACTGATTAACTCTGTAAGCTGCCTCTCATGCCACAAAAGCCTGCAACATCAAGAGTTTATGGTAGACGGTTCCTGTCTATCCTGCATTAAACAAAATGACATCACTAACATCTACTAGGACTATCTATAGTAATTCTAGCCCAATTCTAACATTTTTTCCCCTCTCTTCTTCATCTTTTCAATGTTGATGCAAATCAAACAAAAACTCTCTAAAACTGTATTCGTTTTTCTGCAATAAGAAAGTCCAGTTCTTCAGTGGATTTCAGTTTTAGATTGAGAATCTATTGAGGTTTCACTGCAGCTGTTAAGCTGTCACACCAAGAGGAGACGACACAGAAAAGTAGAAAAGTTTCCAAGCTTGACTACTGATTTTGCATGATGAGCAGATGGTGCATGACAACTTAAATGACATCACAGAAACTGGACATTTGCAAAGTGTCTGTGTGCATTCCTCAGAATACTGGTACTGACTGAACCAGCATAGCTGGAGACAGCAGTGACCTGGTATGTACAGTTTGAGAGCCTAATTTGAGGCGGTTACCTACCCCTGCTAACAAATGGTTAACTACCTGATTACTGTACGTAAATGTTCTCTGCCATTTTCAGCAGATGTGGAAGCAACTTAATTTGCCTCTAACTGGAAAGAGAATGGGGAAATGAATAATGAAACAGAACAGAAAATAAACCCCTATTGGGACATTCTAATATAATGTCAGTAGGGTGAGAAAGAGGGGGAGGGAGCTGTCATCTTAAGTGAAGCCTGCACAAAGGAATAGTTGAGTGAAGAAGGGAGGGAAATACAGCTCTCCACATGCTGACATGTCCTATGCCAATTTATCTTGAGTATCAGTTACCTCTGTTGGAAGGAGCTGGCTAAGCATATAGGCTCAGATGTAGGTTCACATACATTTCAGGATGTCCCGAATTTTGCTATCCTTCTCCCTCAATTGGAAACCTCTCTGTAAAACCATTTTTGAGCTGGATTGCATGAAAGGTTGATCTCAAATCAAAGAGTTTGTCTTCTTCCTTGTATTCCTGGGCTGCACAGATAACGCTCAACTGAACTCTCCTCTCTGTAAAGCAAGACCACTAGTCCCAGATCTTGATCTACTCCAATAAATGATTAAATGTTCTGCACAAAAACAATGTCACTGATACCCTCCTCTCCTATGTAGTAAACAAGTATTCATCCAGCATGGAAATACACAAATCCCCTGGAAGAGCTTTCCAGTGCAGGATGAAGGTCTTTCCCTGCATAAGCAAATGTATTCAAACCTCCTCATATCACAGCCACACAAACTGCATCCAAAAAGATCAGGAAGAAGAGACCCAGAACTTCCTCTATGTTCTCTCCCCATCTACAATTACAGAGAAAATTCCACCACAATGAAACTCAGCCTTTTAAATTAATATACTGAAAAAAAAAAAAAAAGGAACATTATTTGGTACTACGGGAAATAGCAGCACCACTTGCAGCCCAGCCAGCACTCATTCCTCCGACTCCCTTCAGGAGCCACGGTGCAAAGCCCCACCTGCCCAGGCATGCAGGAGTCAGCAAATGCACCCTGGGTTGCAAGTCATGCACCTACTGAGAGGAGAACGTTTGGTATAAGCAATCCTTGTCCAGCGCCTCTGCCCAGCTCCTCTGTGACACTCACCTCACAGTGATAACATTCCACATGGTAGTCTTTGTCCATTGACACTACTCTGATGGTTTCTTCAGATCCCTGTTGGAGAAACACAGAAAAGGTAAGAGTGGGCTTTTAAGTGGTGTTTTCTCAATGTTCTTTCAGTGCCCAACATACAGCTTTGGAAAGGTGCTTCTGTGCGAGATATCCCTTCTCCTTTTGTAGAACAGAGCTCTGTAACTGCTGAGGGTCTTCCCCTCCATGCACTGCACTGCAGTACCGGTTTTCCTATTAAGCAGCCCTGTGGATGTCTGAAATAGATTGTAAAGGTAATTCGGGAAGCGTAGCTAAAATTTCATGCTCAAAAGAGAGACTTTGAACAAATTTTATAAGCCAAACACTATGACATAATGACTAGGTCACTATTCCTTGTAGACATCCTGGCCTGACTTTTCTATGACTCGTTCCCCTCAAACTAGCTGGTGCACGGCTATTCTGCATGTGCACATGGCAGTGTATGTGCCCTAGGGTCATTTACATAGCTGTCCAGCTATCCAGCTGCCCATACCCTTCCTGTAACCTCACAGGCTACAGGAACTTTTCCCTGAGCCACTTCCATGCCTCTGCTCATTAAATTTGCTGACCTGCATTGTTTCCAGTTCCAGGTGTGGTTAGAGCATCAGATATGACGTAGACTATGTCTGAGAGAAGCCGCGGGCAGGTTAGCACCTGCACTGCTAGACTTGAACTAACCTATGAAACCTCCGTGGGAAAGAACATGGAGTCAATCTGCTAACCATCAGATGAGTCAGCAGTAGGACTGCCTTTTTACCTTCTTTTAATTATTATTAATTTTTTAATCATTTTGTAAGACATGAAACTAGAAAAGCTCTATGGAAACTTCACTCCTTATACCATCATCAGCAGGGCACGAGGTTCTGGCTTAGCTTCCATAAAGTTTTTAATTTAGTGAGACCTGGTCATTTAGCAAAAATAATGACAAACGTAGGGTAATGTGGCATGGTAAAGGTAGGCACACTGAGAGGCTCCAGCCACAGGCTTTACTAGGGCACAGCAGCTTACGGGAGGCATGCTCTGGCTATATCCTGATGAGAGGATAAGCAAGGTGCTGAGGGCCTTCCTTGTGATCAGGCTAGCCAGTGACACGAACAGCAGGAACTCAGAAAGTCCTGCAGCTGCTGGAGTTGAATGGAACATCACTGTGGGCAGGCAGAAAGGGATCATCTTTTCCAGAGTCTTACTGTGCTGACTATACCATCACAATGGTCTGAGATTGCAAGCAGCAGTCATTCATCTGGCTTTCCTTTTCAGCAACTTTTCTACCTCCTTTTCCACCCTTCAACCAATTCATTATAGTGACCTTCCACAACAACAGGCTGTGTGGCCTTCTGAGGGTCAGGGTAACACCTCAGCTGTCTCTTCAAGCTTGGGCATCGTAACAGATGCACATCAGAAAAGCAAACATAGCGGACAAGGAAAATTGCTACTTGAGCTAATGGGAAATTCTAAAAATAAACAGAGCTTTACTTCTTGGATTGTTCTTGGAGCCCCAGTTAGGGCTTTCAATTAAATGAGATTTATAACAGCATAATTAAGACCTGGAAAGCACCCTAATGATACAAAGTAATATGCTACATAAGCACTATGACTACTACAACCTCTGGGAATGTTTGGGAGTGACATTACTGCTGAACTGTATTTAATTTAGTATCTGACATACATTGTGGAAGAAGGAGGAAAAGTTCTTGGAAAGTGTTCTTATGCCAACAGCTGTTTTCTGTAAAGAGTCTGTGCACATTAACATGTACCTGTGCTGGTAGAATCGGCTGGTTACAGGAAGCGCATTTTGGTGCAAAAACCCTGGGGTGCAAGAAGAAAATTTAAATTACATTCAAAGTTTCTTCAAAAAGTAGAACCAGGAGAACTAATTCTAACCATGCCTTCTTTTAGTAAAACGTAAACCTGGGTTTGAAGGCATCTCTATCTACATTGGTTTTTTTTTGTTTGTTTGTTTGTTTTACAATATTCAGGGAAAAGGAGACTTAGAAATGCATATCTACCCCAGCTTTTTATTGCTTAGGTCTTTTTGACCTCTAAGTATTATCAATCTAACCCTCTTCCTGTATGTGCCCTTTCTCTCACCTCTCTTTCTTCATATGGCCATTCAAATTCTGCAAAGTAGCTCCTGACCTGGGACCTGTCACCAGCTCACATGCTAAATTGAGAGGGACTGATCTCAGCTAGGGTCTATGTAAACCAAATACATCAACTGGTTTTACCCACAGCTGCATTTTATGGCAGTCACTGGGCCAACATCAGTCCATCCCCACAATACAGTCAGACCAATACAAATGAATTTAAAATGATTTCCTCTTGCTCCATGAGCTGAGTTACTGGTTGGCTGGAGCAAAGAGAGCATTTACACTGCCTTTTAGCAAGAGTAGAAAAGAGTCCAAAAGCAATCACTTGAACAGTAAAAACTTCATCAGGTGAAGGTCAGATCATTCTAACACTGGCTGCTAATTCTATGTCTGCTGTCCCGTCTAACTTGATGTAACTTATACTCCCAAGTATCATGCACCACTAGCATCTGGACAGTAGCAGAACCTACCATCACTTGCAGAATTAGCCACGTCTAATTAGTGATGGAAGTCCTGAAGGAAGTAGAGAAGCAGCCAGCAGAGAAATACATCCTCTGATACAACCTCATTTTCAACCTCACTTAGCCCTTGAATTCCCCACAGGACCCACCAAGTGAGCTTTAGGATAACTTTAAAACACTTTACAAATGCAGCGTGTGAGAAGAGCACTAAGGGACAGCTGAACAAATAGGAATAACTCTTCATCTACTGCAAGACTCACAGCTATACCATTAACTTAACCAGTATAAATCCTCCAAGCATGTAATAGATTTGTTTACTTACGTATGGTAGTCTTTGACACAGTAAATATTGTTCTCCACATCTACAGTGAAGGGGACTCCATCCAAACACTCATTACATACCACGCAGCGGAAGCAGCCAGGGTGGTATGACTTTCCAAGGGCCTGTAAGATCTTAAGAGGCAAAGAGCAAAGTAAATGGGTGCACAATTACATGAAATCCTTCCTCATATACTGCTTTGTCTGACTTTTAAAAATAACAAGTGAGAAGCACACACTTTGGGATGAAATTACCAATCTGGAGTTCTGTCAGCAAGGGGCCTTTTAAAACAATGAAGCTCCTGATTTCTGTGGGTTTCTATCAGGCTCCCAATAATGACAGAGATCTGTGAAAATCAGGTTAAGTCCATCAGTATTAGCTCTGCATGGCTAATACTGCCCAACAGAAATTAAGAACAGCTTTGGAGACTACTTGGAAAATCTGTTGCAGTCAAATACAAGCGAGTGGGATACGGAGTTAATTCACAAAATGCATCAGACCATGACAGAAGGAGTCCAAACTAGCCATTGCTCACACCTACACAGTAAAATAATAAAACTCCTGTTCCACCACACTTACTGACCAGTTATAGGGGTCCATTAGTTTTTGCTAAAATCTGTATCAATGGATAATCAAAACTGCCCATGCTTCTGCCATGCTGACCTTCCTTACTGCCTATCTCCTATGGAGATATTCAAGACCTGTGTGGACACCTGCCTGTGTGGCCTATTGTACGGTACCTGCTTTAGCAGGGGCTTTGGACTCAGTGATCTCTTGAGGTTCCTTTCTAATGCCTGTGATTCTGTTATTTTAAAGGCTTCACAGAAAGCCTTTGCAGTCTTCTCAATACTGTTATAAAATCCCTTCTACTTAATGGAGGTGGCATGGCACAGGGCCATCAAAGATAGCACACCATGTTCATGGACTAGGTTCTGGGAAGGGCTAGACAAGCTTCCATCTTCAGGCAAGTCTTAAGAGGTTATAGCACCAATTGTACATGTTTCACGTGTAACCACCACCTTTGGGAGGTAATTTCAAAAAGTTTCTGCTAGCAGCAGCACTCAGCTACTAATAGACTACAGGGACAATCTCCACTAACAAAGCTCATGTGGCCTTGCAGCTGTTTCTACAGGTAAAGTTCAACAGGAACTAAGACATGGAGCATAGCTGTCTGTTCAATGACTGGTATCAGACACTTTGATTTGCAAGACTGCTCGCTCCTACCCAGATGCAACTTGTCTTTAGGCATGCATTGCTATCCAAACAGCTACATAACAAGCAACATTAGCCTGGTGTGGTTGCGTAGCCACCCTTTGCACAGAACAACTGCACTTTCAGCCCTTGAAAGCTTCAGGCTGCACCCAAGCCTGTGGGGCTACAGCACTGTTCCTCAGTTGCACCAGTAATGTGACTGTGCAGACATGTTTGCTGTCTGTGCACTTCTAAGGAGGAGCACAAAGCAATTAGCCAAATAAGACTGCTTAATTCCTGGAGCTCCCAAAGCAGGTTCCTTTTTTTTTTTTTTTGGAGTATACTTGCTGATGGGAGAAAGGCAGACGTGCTAAGCTTCCGGCCACTGAGTTCCACCAACAAGATATTATAGACTCTTGCCTGGCATCCTGCAATTAAAGGCCAGTTCAAAGCATGCAAGTTGTGATACCCCTCCCCCTCCCAGCATGACACAACTCTAGAAGTTTGCTCTTGGGCTAAAACGAACAATATCCTTGTCCAACCAGTGGTGCCAGGATATGCGCCAGAATTCTCATTAGTGAAGTCTCTGTTCCAGCTCCTTCTGCACCTCTGTGTTTGCAGTGTAACTGCTACTTCTATTATGTGAACTAATAAACGTTCATGTACATCTTAGAGCAAGAGAAAAACACTGACATACATGTGATCTGCACTTCTTCAGTGTGCAAGCCATTTTACTTGGGAATTCTGCTTAGAAAAAACAGATGAAATTTATCCTGCTTTCACCTGGAGAAGGGTGCCAGCAGTATCTGGCTCAAACCACACTCCTTATTTTCTTATAAAAAGTAACTGACCACTGTCTCCCTGCAAATCACAGTAGCAAATAACAGATTTTAACAGATGTAGAGCAAGTGGCAGAAGGTAAATAAAGCAAGAAGCAACTCATGGAGCTGGCAACAAACCTCAAGACTACTGTTAGTGTTTCTCTCTTTTCTAGCCCAGACCTCAACCCCACTGGAAGAGCTCTCATCTTACAGGGCACAACTTGTTTTCCTTTACCATGCTCATACAAAGCTGTGGCCTATCTTCTCCCTTTGTTATTTCTTTTTTTAACTGGCATGTAGAAGAAAAATAGCATCCCATAATCTCAGATAGAAGAGAAGCCCAACTTCATGTACTTCAGAGCAATTAAGCAAGAATATACTTCAGGTTACAATACTGCCTCAGTTTGAAAAATTACCTTTACAGAGTGGAGACACAATGATATTCTGACTAGGGAATAAGCACGATGTCTAACAGACCACTATCCAAAATACATCAAAAAAGATATAAAACAGTAAGTTCAGGTCTCTTACCATTTCCATTATGAGGTGTCCACAAACAAAGCACTTATCTGCTGTTTGCTGGAAACCCGAATACTGTTGAAATAACAGAACAGGGTTATTAGTAGCCACTCTTGTAGCTGCAGAAATAGATGAACATCATGCTGTTTTCTATCCTGTGCTGTATATGACAGCAAACTATACAACAGATCTACTGCCATATGTTTTCCTTTTTATTAGCATGAGGGGATTACATGTTATTTCAGGTCAGGAGGTTGGAGGCAAAATTATCACTGTTATGCAACAAAGTGATTATGAAGAAAAAGGTCTTTCAGACACTTTGATGGGCCTGAAAAGTCACCAAATGATGCTGTGGCAGCTGTCACAGCTCCACACTAAGAAATATAGCTTATGCAATCTTCAACTTTGAAACGTGTGCAAAAGAGGCTGAAGTGCTGAGGAACACATACAGAGGTGGCTATTTCTCCAAGATATTGCTCTGAATTGTGCAGTGAAACTGATGTGCAAGTCTGGATGAAACAGCTGAGTTCACCTCCCCACTTCAAGTAGCAGCCTTTGTATCACAATCCTTGCTTTTTTCTTCTAACTGAGGTAGAAAAGGCCTTGCTTCTCGGGGTGCTTCTTGGCTGCGCTGTGTCTCAGTAACCATCTGGCTAGACTACTGAGACTATTTCCTAAGGTTGCAAACTCAAGGGTTACTGGAAACAGGTGGGTAGGTCCTGGCAGCACAGACAGCAGAGGATTAACAATAATTCAAACCCAGCTAATTCTAAAATCCTGCTGGAATGAATTTACCAGTACCATCTGGCTGTCGTTTGATAAGGAATGCAAAGGAGCATTTTCCCAACTACTGATTAAGAAAGAGCATTATTTCCCAGGAAGAGAATGGCTTAATGGTCACATTAATGTCATTTAGTGCTAACTAGCTTGTCGTAAATTACACTGTTTGTCAGAAAGAAAGGTTTTGCTGACACAAGATCATTCTTTACATGACTTACCCTATTATATTAAAATCCTGATTTGTTTTTAACAAGAGAATTATTATTTGCCACATTCAGAACTACATTACTCTATTAAGACGACTTCATAAAATGGTAGTAAGTCTAACATCAGTGATAAAATATTTCACAGGCTTCGGAAACTGTCCCTTTGCCACTGCACTATTATTTCTTTCTGACTGCAGCACTGATCTCAGACAGATCAGAAACCTTATTTACTGACAGCTGGTAGATTAGGCTTTGCTTGTGCTTTACCTCTCTTTGGACTGGAAAACAATAGTAGGCAGGGAAACCATTTTTCCATCTGATGGCAGTGCTGTTTAGAGGTAAAAAATACATCATCATCTCTAAATTTTTGTATCTCACCTTCAGTCAACTTCAGCTCTGCAGTTTGTTCTCAACTTTGAGAATTCAGACATGGCTGTTGTGCTAAGTTTACAATTTTAGAAGCAGAACTTAAAATATTAATTAAAATTGTCAGCCTCTGTCTTTGAAACAGTTGATTATTATTAAGCTTCACAAGCCTTGTGTGTACAAGACAGAAATTGTGACTTGCTCTGGACAGCAAACGAGGGAGAATGGCTGCATTATCATCTGTCAGCACACCAAGGAGCCTCCCTGATGACGGGTTCCCAGTGTGGCTGGTGGAAGCAGCACTGGTCCCTCAGAGCTTGTAAATGATTTAACTCCAAGAGAAGAGGGGTTTGGTTGTACAGACTTGTACTCTTTTTCATTACTGACATAGCTGGAGGTGGGAAAAGAAATTTTGTGTATACCAGCCCTTCCTCATAATCTAGAGACGTGAAAAGCAGATTGAGACAAGACAGTGAAATAATTAATGGATTGACAGGCAAGATCCTAGCTGAGAAAGCCATATCCTAGCTATGTTTCTTGTACACAATGTAGTTTATACATACAGTTTCATTCTAGATGCAGACAGAACAAGGCTTTTTTTCAAACGTATTTTTTTTCTACAGGTAACAAGTACAGACCAGCCTCAAACTAGAAAAATGCATTCAAAAGGCTACAGACAGTACAAACCCAGGACAAGTAAGTGTATTTTTGAACTTTCCCAAATATTCATTATAGATGCTCATTAAGAATATACAAAAATATTCAAGGAACTTGTTATAAAATAATTGCTCTGAAATTCAAAGCTCAAAATGAAGCCTTATCCTTTACTGTCACATCTGTGGATTAGAAGTAAGATGCTAATTACCAAAATGCAAAGAAAACAAGTAAATGCTAAAGAGCTGGTAAAATATTTTTCCTGATTCCTTGGTTTGGTCCCAGATGTCTTCTCCCATATTTACCTTGTCCTTGATTTCTCACTCAGGATAACAAAATTTCAGTTTATGTGCAAGAATCAAGACCTTCATAATCCAACTCCCCAGTAATAATTATACTGAAATAAGACTCTAGAAAACCTTGAGATATGATTAAGGTATGCCAGAATGGAAGAGTGAAAATAAAGTAGAAGACGTAGCTGGCTGAACTTTTCTTTCGTTCACTGTCCACTATACTTTGATTATCAAACAGGCAAAAAGTGCCTAATCATTCTAAGCGTCTTTGTGTCAATGAAGAAAAGAACAAGTCCCCTTCTGTCTCAAGTACTTAGGACTAATAGTGTCCTTCTATGAAAATCTTACGGTTTATGAACTTTTCTGTCTAATGTGCAAGAACTTAACAATGAATTTTGGACATATAATGGACAATTATGCATGGAGGTTAATCCCACCAACTACTGTAGGAAAACATTTCTCCTGTCCACCCTGAATCCTTCAACCAACGTTGGCTGTGTAGCCAGGGCCTCTTAAAGTTCAATATTCTCATCATTATTTTCAGAAGCAAAAACAAACAAAACAAAACAAAGCATGCCCGACAGAGGCTTCAGAATCCTAAGTTTCTACCTTAGGCAGCATGAGATCTTGGAAGGGACGTGTCGCTGCTTCTCCTTCACATGCCTACCCATGCCCAAGGAGAGACTGATGCACTTCCCTGCTGTTACATACTCAATAAAACAAAACCCTCCTCCTGGAAACAGACCCTGGAATCTCATTCAGACCCATTTTCTTCTTTGATGGGGATGTTCAAAACCTGCTAAAGGTTTGTGCAAACAGATTGAGTGGGTTACATTTCAGTAGGTGTGGCAGTTACTGCCAATGGTATGAAGCTGTAAAAACTGTTACAGCACTGCAAAGTCACCAAATGCGAATGTTAAGCCGAGAATTGAGATTCTCACCCTTTTATGCTTCAAGGGCTTTTGAGAGGGATGATCACGAGCTTTTGCCAAAATGCTGTAGGCATTTAATTCGGAAAACTAATTTCTGAATTGGGTGCTATGCTAATAATGTATTCCAACCCCAGGCTGCCTGTAATCCCTCACAGACTCTCTTCTCCTTGGTTTCCCATTAGCAGAGCATCTGTCTTCTCACTGCTCTATTGTTTGCACTCTGCATGGGACCCTTAGTACATGGGACACAACAATGCAAGAAATTCATGGGGTCACATTAAAAGAGGGAGAGAATATCAAATTTGGTTTCATGCAGATGGTTGGGTTTTTTTTGTTTGGTTTCTTTTTTTTTTCTTTTCTTTTCTTTTCTTTTTTTTTTTTTTTTTCACACACATTTAAACACAGTGGTTAAACTGAACTGAACAAAATGGAGCCTTCACAGACTATCCAGGATACTGGAGCCTCAGAGCAGGTGGCAAAGATTAAACTAAAGCAAAATAGTCCAGAACTTGCTGGAAAACCTTTCGTATACCCCGTTGATGTGCCCTGTCTTACTGCCAGTAAGGAAACACTACCACATCAGCATATATTCATGTTTCTGCATTTCCACTTAGTTGCAGCTGAAGGACATGGATTGGGCAAGGATGGACTTTACGTTCAGCACAGAGTTTGTTGGACTGTGAAAAACACTGACAAAACCCCAGAATTCAGCTGGTAACTAACTGCCTTTGAATGACATAATTTGGATTTGTCCACTTCAGATTAATAGTATCAGTGTTACGGAACTTGAAAGTCCCTCCTGTCCCAACCTACAGCAGTCAGCACCTTGAAAATACGCACAGACTTCCTCAAACTTACATCTACCAGAAATACTGCACAGCAAATTCCTTTCCAAGCTTTCATTCCATTACTCTGTTAAACATATTGATAAACAATGTCTGTCTGTTCTCTGACTGGAGAATGCATTTTAATCTCAAGTCTCCTAAATGCAACATCCTAGCAATTATGTAGAACAACATCTGCTCTGTGACTTCCATTAGATATCAAATGGGCACAAGTTACAACTTAAATCATTTACCTTTCAGCTGGATTCTGTTTTTTCTGCGAGTCCAGCAGCGATGGGCTCTCAGACTAGTGCCAGTGCTCACCTCCCAAACATTTATACTCTCTGAGATGGAAAACCAAACCTCTGACTCCAGCTGACACCAGCTTCCATTACACTAAATAAAAACAATCTTCCTAAGCATGCAGCAAGTGGGACAGGCTATTTCCCACACTGCCAAGTTTGGAAAACAGCATATGTGCAAACTGAAAAGAATAGCCTCATGATCATTAGTATTTACATTTCAGCCATGTATTTTGGAGGCCCAAATTAGGGTCAGGGTCTCATTTTACTTGGTGCTACAGGAGATGAAGGTGCAAATCACCCAGTTGGCCCTCCATTAATATCCCACTCCTTGCTCCTATGATCTTTGTCTACTCCTTGCCAGTCTTGCACTCATTGCCCCTTTCATACCTTCAAAATTATTTAGTGTTTTACAGATGTGGATGTGAGGCCCAGTATGTTCTCTGTAACCAACTTCTGTATTTCAGTGGTCAGTTACAGAGCAGAGGCTATGGCAAGGAAGAGGGTGTTAAGAAGAGGTACCAGTTGCTTGTGGGAAGGAATAATTAGAAACCCTAGAGAACTAGAATGAGGGGAAGATTTGAGAGGCAGCCAGCACGGTTTCAGAGCACAGCTCTGTTAGCACTGTAGGCTGATTACCCTCCATCTGCTCAGCCCTTGTGCCTCTGGAGTAGAAAGGAATGTGGCCAGGGCAGGAAGCACACCATCATGGTGGGGCTGGCTATACTTAGGGACACAAAGGGAGAAAGGGGACACCTTAAAGCCTCCCAACATTGTATGTCTCTCTTTTTTGGTTGGCATCTGTAAAATGATATTTTTAGAGCTTTCCTTTTTGAGGATCTATAGGCACCTACAGGTGACAGATCTTCCTCCAGTCTCATTCGCTGAAATGGATCAACAGATTTAGATGAAACCTTCAACAAAAATTGACAGCAAAGTTAGCCAGAGGCAAAATCCCAGCACAGAGAGATTCAGCCTAAAGGATTAAACTTGGCAAAGTTGTAAGACAGGAGAAGAAATCATCTTAAAAAGGGAAATTTTGTATGACTTTAATGCTATGCAGTGCAGCTTGTAGTGCCTGTAATAGGTTATTTCCATAGCATCTGAGTGTCTTCTAGTAGTACATTAAGCAACGTAACTAACAGCTGTCACAAGGTTCATTTTCCCTCTGATCTCCTCCCTAGAGGGAAGTTCTCTCATTTCTTAACCTCAGTGGGACCCCCCACTCAATGTTAATTACCTCAAGAGAAAAAATAAAAGTCCATAAAAAGTTTTTAAAAATGCAGTAACAGATCTAAGATTCAGGCTGCTTTGTGACATTTTGAAAGTTTTTTTCTCCAAGAAAAACAGTAATTTATTTTAAATTTCTTTACATGATACTTAAGCATTGAACAGGAAAGACAAAATTCTTGAGCTGTTTTTCCTTCACCCAAGATTAGGCAACAATTTATCAACAAAATGGCAGAAACCATCTGACTGGGATTATTTACTATACTGTAAGGAATTTATTTTTTTTGTTCACTTCACCAGGAACAGTGTCCCTGTTATGGCTAGTTAGCCATCTGTGTCCTAAGAGCTTTCAGGGAAGGATTAAACTGTCATTTGTTTTGTTTCCTTTCATGAAATAAGTATCCTAACAGGGCTGAGGCAAGAGCTGGAAATTGCTGGACTTGCTACCTTAAGGTGGCATGAAGAAGAGTAACTGTATCTTCCCTGGAGCCATAGCAAGCCAGTGAAAAGTTAGGGCTTTCTGGTTTTGTTCTTTTTACTGCTTTTATTCAGTAACTGCTTCTATTCAGTATTGCTACCGCAGAGCTCCTACCAGAAACGGTAGATTAGGAAATCTCTACAGCACACCAAGGTAGGATCAAGATTATCTGTCACTATGATTTTTTTTCCTAAATCTGATTCATTCACTACATTTAGTCCATGAGGCTTGGATCTACACACTGGCAGAATTTCCAGCTGATCAGGACCAGGAGGCTGACAACAAATAAAGAGTAATGCCACGTCCCCTCCTGTAGGTGCGGTTCACCAGCCCTAACACACTGATTCAGAATCCCTCACACATCAAGGTTAGCACTATTGTCCAAGGATGATCCCAACAGTGCCATGTGGCATCTTCCCTCCATCTGCAATTCCACGAGCACGTCTAAAAACTTCTAGCATCTCTTTCTTGGAAAGAATGAGCAAAATAAGCTGCCTGATTTGGAGAAAGATAATCGGTGCCCTCAATAAGAGCAAACATGTGGGAAAACTATTTGTTAGAAGAATGTACCTTGTGGCTACTGCCAAAGGTTTTTGATGGGTGTATCTGTGCTTTGGATAGCTTTATGGCTGCACAGTGGAAATTGCTCATAATGCAATTTTACAGTGCAGACAACATCTGCACTTCTGCAACACCTCTGTCCAAAAATTAAAAGCACCTTTCAAAGAAAGGGTCAGATTTATATAATAACTAACCAGGTCACCAGCTGCAAGGTTGCAACTGTGACAACACTCCTATACATATAGGACCATATAACTCATTCTCATCAGTTCTCAGGGAAACAAAAGCCAAGGGGGCAAGGACACGAACAGGAGACAGTATTTTCTTAGCAGGAATACAATCACAATGTAGGTCAATTGCTATTGTTTTCCTCTCCACTATTTATTTTTCCATGTTCCATACCTAAGAATAAGATCAGAATCTGACCCAACCTGCAGATGACTGCATTTAATAGTCAGAAAGAAGCTGCAGTGAGACAACAAGTCAATCTCACAGTGCAGCAGACGTAGATAGAAGTATGTACTCTTCTTGCAGCTGCTATTGGCCAGGACAGAGGTTTGTGGGGATGAAGGCAGGTCTCTGTGGGGACTTGTGGATTCAGGACTATGGAGCCACTCCAGAGACTGTTACAATGCATAGCAGCTCCTATAGTTCTGCCAGCTTGCTTCTTGACCTCCGAAGTTCTCATAGTATCTTGGATCATAGTAGTGCTCACAGAACTGAGTGCAAGATTAGCCTAATACATCCTGAACCAACTTTTTTTTATTTTCTTTTTGTTTTAATATCTTCTTTTTTACACAATCCACCTCCCCAGCTCTTTGACTAACGTCCTACTGTGGCACTGTCAGCAGCTAATCTGTATATAAAGCTGTAGTAAAGTTTGGAGTTTTAAATTTTCAGTTATATTGAAAAAAAAATTGGCGCTCTGTTTTGGACAGAGAAACCTCTTTTTAGACAGCACTAGACTTCTGCACTGCTTAGGAGCAAGATCTGGAGGCAAGAAGTAGTTAAAGTGATTTCCTTTTTGAGTGCTGCTATGCAGCCTTTTCCTCTGACTGCTCTGTTCTGAGCTTGCTCAGTCCACAGGACTCTAAAGTTAGCAAAGCTGTTTTAATTAGAGAAACAAGGCAATTTCTGGTATTCTTGCTATGAGGTTTGCTCAAGGGAAAATGAAAGAGAGCAAAATCACTTTCTGAGAAGCAGCCAGTTTAATGCTGGCAGGATAACTTCAGAATTTAATTTCTTTTACTGCATTTTGCTGCAGTCCTTGAGTCTGTTTCTCTCTCATCTCCCCATGCTAGAAGAGATCTGTTACAAAGTGCCCACAGCAGGACTAGGCTTAAATATCTACACCTTAAAAGTCCAAACAGCTCCCATAGTTGCAGAAAATGTATTCCTATCAGGTCCTTAAACTGTTTTATTGGGAAAATCACTGCATCTCCCTCCAGAAGCCTACTACAGAACATGTCAATTCCTTACTCAAACCCTGAATGTTCTCCAAAAAGATGTAGATTTTCAGATTTAAAATTGCCTTGTTTAGGCTGAGATTACAAGCTAATACCAACAATTGTGTCCACTGAGTCTGTATGAAGGGTTTTGGTCATGGAAAAAGTACATTCTCACACAGTACAAAATAAAAATCTCAAAGGGTCAAATGCCCCTCCACCTCACACTCTATTCTTCCTGTCTTTCTACACTTCGCAGAAACAGGGGCAAGGAGGAGTTGAAAAAAGCATGGAAGAAAATAGCATTTTCACAGGCAAAACAGTAACATATTTCAATTGCAGCAAGTAACCTTTCTGCACAAAATATGACCAGCTCTTCTCAGGAGTTTCCAGCTGTGGTAGGCTGAGACTACAGGTATAACACAAAGGCAAACATGGTTTACATTCTGAGAATTTCCATAGTTTTCATGATGAGAAACGCATTTGTGCGATCTGAACTACCAGTAATACGTCTGCTGTGAGATATACTCTGAGTAATCCTTTTAAAAAGGATGGACATATTTTCATTAGAAATGGAAAGCTGTTCTGAAGACCCATGATGCTAAATAAATGGTATTTCAGTGAACAAAGGTGCTGTAAATTCAACATACTAGTTTCTCCAATTCATCATCCTATAAGCGGAAACGTAGCAGTTCAATTGCCAGCCACACTGTTCATTCATTCTTAATTATAAATGGTGTGCCACTTATGAAATCAGTCTCTGTGTACTGCACAATCTGCACTCTTAGTTGCACAAATACTTTATTTTTGGAACAACGCAACCCAGCAATAAGCTTCCTTTTCCTTTTCATGACTAAGCTTCTATTAACATACAGCATTTATAAAAACTCTAGGCGCATGGAGAGAAAATTAGTTGCTCCTCTATGGCTAATGGTTTTTAGCTAATCACAGTAAAGCTCCACATCACTCCTAGCAGAGCTGTGATATTAAAACTGCACCTGCAACAAGGCAACAATGTACACAGCAATGATGTGCTCCAGACAGAAATGTCTTCCCTCTTGTTGTGACTTGCATTCCCCAGATATTTAACATTGACTTTGTACAGGCTTTGTAGATGCAATAAGACCCAAGCTTAAGCAGCTCCATTTTTTATTCTTGTAATTTAACTTTGTAATGGCTTATGAACAGTTACATACTTGGTTTCATACCCACCTCTTCAAACTGTGGGCCCAATCCTGTTATGGAATTAGTAGTAAAATGTTTCCCAATTCCAGCACTGACAGAAGGCTACTCCAGAAGACAAAACCAACTCCCAAAGCAAACACAATATAAAAAAACAATTTGGTCTAAAAACAATGAAAAAAATGCCTGAAGGCTTACTTACTAGGAAGTCTTCTTCACAGTACACCTTGCCATTGACATTGTAGAATGCTTTTCCTCGTAGTCTTCTCCCTGTAAAAATATTGCACTGTCAGAATTTTGTACTTTGTTCAGGATACGAAGTATAAAGCATGTCCTGCTGCGTGTGTTAACGTGGCCAGCTCCTGATGTCTTTACTGTTGGCAACATCCACCCAGGTGGAGGATTAGCCTGTAGTCTCCATCATGCATTAACAAACTCCTTATCAACCAAACATTAGTTGTGATTGATAGAACCCAGCTGATACCAGTTCCTAGAAAATTTGAAATCTAAAACCAGAGAGGATTATTCTGTGGGGAAAGGCTCATTTGTAAATTGATAAAATTTCCTTAGCAAGTGAAATCACATCACTGGAATCCACTGGATCACATCCACTGGAATCAACATCAGCAACACATTTGTCTCTGAAGGATCACAAACACAGAATACAGCATATGGCTATTCCTGTCACTGAAGCATCAATCAATTTCAAAATAACTATGCACTGAACTACCTGCGATACTAAGGCAGTACTGGTCACACATGAAGGTGAATACAGAATATCACATTGAAAACAAGAGATTTCATTAAATCTTACAGAACTCTACTGACAAAGCCTGTGATCATCATGAACTGGCAGTACCCCTTACAGTTAAGAAGTACACAGCAGACTACAGTGAGTCCCAACAAAATGGATACAAAATGGATACAAAAAATGAACTCAGAAATAACTGAGCCCAGCCAGATTTTAGGTACCACACACCAGATCTCTGCTGTACACCAGAACTGCCACACCAAAGGGGAAGAGATTTTATCAGTGTAAAACCAGCTAGTGGATGGAAACCAAACCAGTGCTGACTCACCTTATTTCCACTCCCTGTCAGGTTCTGAGTGGCCAAAGCTCCCAGATACTTGGATGCTCTCACAAGCCACTTGCAGCTTAGGCAGGCAGATGGCACAGTGCATACTGCGGGCTGCATACCAGCTGCGGATGGGAATGCACAGCAGCAATACTGTCAGGGACACAAAAGCAATGAAGAAGGCAAAAGACTCTGTACTACAGGTCAATAGAAAACCTCTCTCAGGTCACTGTTGAAGCTTTTATTCCACAGAACAAGCTTGGACTTCTCCAAGACAGAGCAGCTGCCCCATAAACACCACCTATCTGTGGTGGGTTCAACTCTCAGGGCCAGAGAGCTGAGCCAGTTGGCCAAGCACAGAGGGGCAGAAGCGTTCTTCAAGGTTTCCATAAACAGTGTTGAGGAAAATATGATTAATTTTCATTGCTTAAAAGTGCCTTTTACACGTTGTCCCTGTGATCCAATCCTGGGAAACAGTGTGTGGCACAAAAAACTTAGGATCTGGACTGAAGCTTTTGGGAAATCACATGCTGCATGTGGTTGTCTGGCGGTTTTACTGTCGTGGCAGAGGGAAATGCTTCTTTTGTGTGCACATTCTTGGGCTGTCGATCTCACAGGCTGCTGTCTCCATACTGCTGGTAGGTGGAGTCAGCTCTTGTTTGTCTTTCCAGCTGCCCTTCCAGCTGCCCGGTAGCTCTGGTGGGGACCAGGAGCCCGGCAGTGTGGACAATGCACTGAGACCATCAATCTTCTCTGAGACTCTTTGGTAAAATGGCTCTGTGCCATATATCATAGAAACAAGACATGGGGCCAGGACAGCTCGCAGGGGGGTCACAGAGCCTCTCTAGGCTGGATCAGGAGCAACCACCTCTTGATCTCTGCTGCATTGCCACTGTTCTTAAATCTCTCCACCAAAAGATTTGTCACTGCCATTCCCAGCCTGCTCCTGGTATTAACTACAGCACTGTTGTCATCTTTCAGAACACCTCTGAGTACAAAGCTTGTGCCAGCTTGCTGATGCGTAACATCCTCTGCCAAGGTGTAGGGCCAACCAGGCACAGAGTTGGGCAAGGGGACATTTGGCCAAGAAAGAGATCTACTCCAGAAAAGAAACCAAGGACTGCTGTCCTTTGCCCTGATGTACTTACCTAAATGAAAATAAAGGAGCTAATAATAAAATTATGAGAAAGAGAAGGAGGAAAAGAACAAAGGTCAGAACAGCTTTTTGAAGGACATCCTGGCCTTCGTATGGGAAATGAAGGGGCCACACTCTGGCCACAGACTTGTCTTTGATGTGCTGATGCACTTCCAACTTGCTCACACACACTGCCGTCACCAGTACAGAAAGAGGGCATTGGCTTCATGTGGTAAAGCTCTGTCCATCACCCTCACTGCACACCCATTGTGATCAGAAGCAGCACAGATAATTAGGGGCAAATCCTGAACTACGGTGCTGGAAGCATCTCTACATGAAATCAATGCCCTCAGTGAGGGCGGGCACCGGCATCTCCTGAGGCATTACAGAAGGTACATGAGTGCCTGTACATCCTGCTTCTTGTTGTGCTGTGCAGACCCTGGCAGCTCTCAGGTTGAAAGAAGGGCCTCAAATTCTAATCCTGTGATTTCCTCAGCACAGCACCCTGGCAGAAGTCAATGAGGCCTGGTTCTGCCCTGAACGAGAAGGGTGCAAAGTAAACATGGCAAAAAGGATGTTTTAGACTGACTCTCAGTGATGCTTATAATACCAAGGGTGTTTGGCAGCTGACTGCCCTAAGACATGAAACAACCTTACCTCACCCAAGCACAGCAAAGCTACAAGCCCCTATCCCAGTCACTGCACAGCTTGTGAGCTGCTGCTCCTCAATTCCACATGGCTCTGTACCAGCTGGCAAACACAGGTAACTGACTTCCCTTCCTATACAGTGATGCAGTCTGTTTCATACTGTTTTCGTTCCAGCTGAGACAGAGTTGGTTTTCTTCATAGTGTCTGGTACAATGCTTTGTTTTGGTTTTAGGAGAAAAACAATGCTGATAACACTCTGATGCATCCAGTTGTTGCTGAGCAGTGCTGTACAAAGCCAAGGACACTTCAGCTTCCCCAGTTTCTTCTGCTGTCCTACCAACAAGAGGAGCAAAAGAAGCAGGGAGGCACAAGGGCCTCCCAGGCCTTATGGCCTCAAGTTGCATCAGGGAAAGTTCAGGTTGGATGTTAGGAAATATTTCTTCTCTGAGAGAGCGGTCAGGTGCAGGAACAGGCTGCCCAGGGAGGTGATGGAGTTACCAACCCTGGAGGTGTTCAAAAAGCATTTAGATGTTGTACTGAGGGACATAGTGGGAAATACTGGTGATAGGTGGACGGTTGGACTGGATGATCTTACAGGTCTTTTCTAACCTTGGTGATTCTATGATTCTAAGGGGCCCAAGGTGCTGTGAAGAGACAGAATCAGGATAACTGATTCTGGCCAAACAGATATTCCATACTGTATGACATCACGTGGAAAGAAAGTTTAGAAAAGTTTAGTTTCTGCATGCTGGGGGGCTCGCCTGGGCATCGGTCGTGGGTAGTAAGCAATTGCTTGTGCATCACTTGTTATAGACATTCATATACATACATACAGTCCTAACTATTATCCTTTACCTTTTCTCTATCTTAGTAGATAAGTTGTTTTTTGTTTTTTTTTCTGATTCTTTCTCCCATCCCACTGGGAAAGAGGGAGCGAGCGAACAACTGTGTGGTGCTGAGCCACCTGCTAAGTTAAACAACAACACATGCAACACTCACACTGCATGCAAAACTGAGGAAAACTACTATTTTCCCCATTTCATAGCTGAAAAAAAAAACAAGCCAACTGTTAAGGAAGTGACTTGCCTAAACTCACAGAACAAGCAAAAAGCTTACTCACATGCTAATCACTATTATTAGCAATAATTAATATGATTGATATGTCTTCTACCTTAGAGGACATTCATTCATGGATATAGTACAATAATTATCTCATAAACAAGCAGCTGCAAGTTATCACACAAATAGTGCAGACTGCACTGCATTGGTTGCTACATACTGCATTTTAGAAATAAAGGCAAAAACCTACTTTCCACTTGCACACTAGGACAAGCTGCTAAATGGCTCCACTGAGCACAGTCAAACACCCAGCTCTAAGAGTGCCTGGCATCAAGTGAACACCATCACGGACCCAAATCTGCCAGCATTTGCCAGAGGGACACTAAGCAAAAGAGCCACAGCACGCTGTGCTGACTGGCCAGCCAGCCAATGATGCCCTGCACCAGGGTACAAGGCTTTGCAGGCTGGGACAGCCAAATGAGCTGCTGTCAGGGCAGCTTCTTCTCTTGAGATACTGGAGCAGCTCTGGAGCCCACAGAGCACTAACCTGTCCCATGCAGTTGTAACCTGGTACTGTCAAGTAAAGTTTAACAAAAGCTTTAGCCAAATTTGTTTTAGCCAGCTGAGTCAAGCATCTGGTCAAATAACCAGGTACACCTCCTGTCCACTGATAAAATGGCCTGCTGCTCGGTTTTCCTTTAAATGTCTGAGTGCAGCCAAGTCCAGCTTACTATTTGCTTTCATAATATTGAAGCAAAAATCAGAGTTTCTAACAAAACTTGAAACAACCTACAGACAGCTCATTATAATAATAACAAGCACTTATAATGAGCAGCCTAGCAGAGAGTTCACAAGTACAAGATTTCACAAACACTGTGCTTCTTCCCTCTTTTAGCTGGATACCCACCTTGGCACATCCACCCTGTCAGACCAGTTTTCAACAGCAGCAGGGAAGAGGCTCAGTTTCATATCTGACCCAAATAGCAGCAGGTCGGCCAAGACCGTGTGAGGGGACCATGCAGGCCCAAAGACAAGGGCAGAACACCTTCCAGTCTGTACCTCAGGTGCAGACATGTAACATCAGCTGTTACAGGAAGCTCTTTTTTTAACTTGTGTGCTCTTTAGCCTTGTTTACCGTAGAAAAAGCTTTGCACACACAGGGACAATATATGACCATCTACTACGTTTTAAACTGACATCCACATGTTGATAAGGTAGAGAGGCTCCAGGATAAAAATGCTATCTTCTGCTATGTTAGGCAGAAGACAGACAGCTTGTAAATATTCCAATTAAGAATGAGGCATTTCACATAGATATCTTAGCATTTAAACATAATAAAAAGTAAGCTAGAA